ATATGAATTTTTCGTGGTTGCATGCTTTGTTTTAGGTACTCCAACCATTCCTTCTTCGTCGTATCAAGTCTGATGTGGAGAAGTCATTGTTACCGAAGAAAGAAGTCAAGGTAAGGGATCAATCTGCGCCCAGTATCTATTTATTTGTCCAATTTTTTGAATTTTGGTTGAATTCTCTATAAAATTCTCTTGTCAGATTTATGTGGGTTTGTCGAAAATGCAAAGAGAATGGTATACTAAGGTCCTCATGAAGGATATTGATGTAATCAATGGTGCAGGAAAGGTTGAGAAGGCAAGGTGAGGACCATGATTATCACTTCCTTTTCACGTTATCATATATGCTACTCCGCAGTTATCAACAAAATTTCGAAATTCCAATATCTCTATAAAAAAATGCCCCAAACGAATTACTGTCGATCATCTTGCTTGAAGGCTTATGAATATACTGATGCATCTCCGTAAAGCGGCAAACCACCCATATTTATTTGATGGAGCAGAACCTGGTCCACCATACACTACTGACCAACACATAGTAGATAACAGTGGCAAGATGGTAGTCCTGGACAAGTTGTTGAAGAAATTGAAGGAGCAAGGTATGTTAATCAAAGTTATTCTACAAAATACAGTCATTTTACCATTCCAGGTTCTCGCGTTCTTATCTTCTCCCAATTTTCAAGAATTCTTGATCTCTTGGAGGATTATTGTTGGTGGAGGCAGTATCAGTACTGTCGTTTGGATGGTAATACAGCTCACGTTGATAGGCAAGAAGCTATAGATGCGTTCAACGCTCCAGATTCCGAAAAGTTCATTTTTATGCTAACAACAAGAGCTGGAGGTGAGCTTAATCATTTACGATCGCTCACCATGTTTAATGGATTTGGCCTTAGGTCTTGGTATCAATCTAGCCACAGCAGATGTTGTTGTTATCTTTGATTCTGACTGGAATCCACAGAGTGACTTGCAAGCTATGGATCGTGCTCACAGAATTGGTCAGAAAAAGCAGGTGGGTGTTTTTTATACTAATCTAATTACGAATCTATAAGGTATCCGATTTTCAGGTCCGAGTTTTCCGTCTGATCACCGAAAACACAGTTGAAGAGCGTATCATTGAAAGAGCGGAAGTTAAACTGCGTTTGGATTCCATTGTTATTCAACAAGGAAGAGTGGCTGAAGCGCAAAAAACTCTAGGAAAGGATGACATGATTAACATGATCCGCCACGGTGCTGAATTGGTTAGCTTTTTTGTCATCTTAAATGTGTTTACGGTTAAGACATATTTGCTCAAGATTACAGAATTTCTTAGGTTTTCTCATCAAAAGATTCCACCATTACTGATGAAGATATCGATACCATCCTCCAACAAGCA